CATTTTACACTATGAATCTCTACAGCTGAGGTTTTACTTTAAATATCCTGTTTTACACTATGAATCTAAACAGCTTAGGTTTTACTTTACATATCCCATTTTACACTATGAATCTCTAAAGCTTAGGTTTTACTTTACAAAAAACAGTATTTTTTTTCAATCTGATTTTTTTCCTTCAGGTCACAAGTGCTGTTATATTACGCATTTGGTAATTTACCAAGAAATAGTACTAAACCAAAAACAGTACACCACCTGATACAAAATGGGGTCTATTTAACATTGTATTTGACTAAGATTCACCCAACTTTCCCCAACAATTTCCCCATAATTTGACCCAAATTTGATTTTCAGCATTCATTCTATCACTGTGGCTTTCACCCATTTTCCAGCAAGATTTACTAGTCAAAAATGTGTATAAAACTAAATTTGCCGAGATCTGTTATCCAATGGCAGATCTGCTCTTCTGCACTATTCAACCAATTTGGACTCTTTGCCCAGCTTAAATTTCAAACTATTTGGCTGCTGGTGAACTGATTTATGGCTTGTTGCAATCAGGTGACCTTCCTCTTCCTTTAAGGAAGGAACCCTGGACATTTTTAAACGTAACCGTTGCAGTGGGGGCTACCCGCCCTCCCCCCCCCCACACTGCAAGAGTGAAGTGCTCACTTTTCTTTAGGGTCTAAAAATAAAGAAGATTTACTCACCCAATCCTTGATCCTGCAGCTGTGACGGCTCACTTCTCTCCCCCTCCGCTCTGGCGGGAGTATGTCCCTTGGCATCCTCACATCTAAATACACTGTATTAGACATGATGACACACAGATCCTTTGGCCGATGGAGACCGGGAAGGAAGAGGCTACAGGGCCGGACTAGCAGCCAGATGGGATTGAGGGTCGGGGGGGGAGTATCTTTTTATTTTAAACCCTAGAGAAAAACGAGTAGTTAATCCTTGCAGTGTGGGAGTAGCCCCGCTGCAGGGGTTAATTTTTCATCTGCCCAGAGTTCTTTAAATCTAGGTGTATGTAAAAGTTCATTTGTGGGTGAACACTGGTTGTATTTTGCACTTTGACCACTTTAGGATTTTGAACATAAGAGATACATCTGAGAACAAAAAATAAAACTTCAGCAACATTTTTAGGATTTCTCTCCATTTCAGCACCATTCCAGACCAAGTACCGATACTTTACCTCAAGTGCTCGCCAATACCAATTACCGATACCTTTTTTTGTGTGTGTCACGTGACTGTTTTTCTAAAACAATACAGACTAATGATTTTAGGACAGTGGTGGAGCGCCAGAGCCCAGCTGAAAACGTTGCACCCCTGGTAGTTCTGCCACGAACCCCAAGATGTAGAGGGACTAGAAATCCCAGCAATCTATTATATAGCAATGCAGAATACCATCAGCAATAGATGATTACAAATCCCAGCAATGCATTATACAGCACAGCTGGAGTTGCCTACTCAGTATTAGTACAGTGTTCCTGACAAATTGTTCAGTGAGTGTACAAGAAACATCAATGATCTTGCTGTGCCTCAAAGGAGAATTTACACTTTACGTCTTCCTTAACATACAGCGTTCTAATGATAAAAGACGTCATTATGTACAAGTTGGGTTTAGACATCAGCTGAATTGTGCCTTGTTTCTTACCTTCCGTGTACTGAGTCCCTGTTATGTAACCTTGTCCAGCAGGGTCCAGGATTCCAAAAACTGCTTCCACATTAGATTCATCAAAAAGACAGGGATAGTCCAAATCTGCAAGCCTAGCAAGCTTCAACTTTTCCAGCTGAGATATGAGAAACTCTCGAGGTCTTTCTGCAAACAGATTCCTAAAGTCAGGCAAATATTTATTTCTCCCTCTGTATACTAAATGATGTAGACAATCATCTGTTTTCCCCAAATTGTATTCCTTTTCATATATCTATGGTAATGCGATTCACCCAACCAAGGAGTATAATGTACATTTTTCAGCACCAGGAGTAGAACTTTAGGGTCACCATACACATTACAATCTTTGTACAATCAATTTCAAATGTACCAAAACTATGTAATATTGGGATCTACCTTAACTATCCAATCAAGCAAGCCTTTGCACTACATAGCTAATGGTAGATCTGAGTCCCCGTTCTCACCTGAGGGTACTGGGAATGCACATCACATTCATGGGCGTTTGTTTCCAGCACGTTGCCCATTGATTTCAATGGGCTCCTACGTGTGTGGCAAATGTGGGAAAGTAGCTCACGTAGAAAAAATCTGCTACAGGTGTCCCGCGTTTTGCCTGGTCACATTTGGGGTGCCATGAACTAGTAATGGCACCACAAGCATGTTGTTGACACAATCTATGGAGGCGCCTCAGAGCACACTTTTTTCCTCGAGTTTGGTATGCATTCACAGAACACCTACGTGGGAATGGGGACGAAGAAGATTGTACAATAAGATTGTAATGTATGGAAGGGGATTGGCGCGATGCTGTTCACATTAATGGCCTTATATGTCTACATGCAGCTGATTGGATGTGCACTGAAACCTAACTTCCAGATTCAGATAAGCTTGGGTTTGACCAAACCTGAGCTCATTTGTGTGATCCTAGAAGCTGAAAAATAATGGGGAAAAATGTATCAAAACTGGAGCAGTTGCCCATGACAACCAATCACCTTTACTCTTTAGTTTGTTCAGTTAGGATTTGAAAATGAAAGAGAGAAGCTGATTGGTTGCACTGCACAGCTGCTCCAGTGTTGATAAATTGCCCTCATTGGATCTACTTGCAGCTAATACAACTGCAAGAGGAGGAACTCAAACAAAGAGAACTGGTAATGCTACGGTAGTACAATTCTGCATCATATCTGCCATTTTTATCAGAGTGGAGCTCAGTTGTAACTCTGACCGGAATATTCCATTGCAGTGTAGAGACTGGGAGAAGTGACACGTTACCTGGCCGGTGATAAAGCAGGAGGCCGGTCAAGTTGTTGACTAGATCTATGATCTTATTTTCTCGGAGATAATCTTCAGCTTCCACCAACCTGCCAGCCGCCATGACTGCGCTCAGCGTTGCCGGTTACTAGGAGACGGAGTTACGTAAACATAGCGCGCAGGACACGCAGGAAGTGGAGTTCGGTCCTAGCGCCTGTTTTAAAACATCTGCGCTAATCTATTTCCGTTTGTTTAGCTGCGCCATTTTCTTGGAGCCCAGACCTTCGTTTTTACTTCGTGCTGCAGGCGGGTTTACTAGGGCTGGGAAATGCTGCTGCTCGTTACTCCCGAGACACAGCCTGCAAACCGCTTTAATTCGAGCAGAAAGGTTTTTTTTTTTTTTCTAATGCTAGATTGCAGAGCTCTATACATAGCATTAAACAATGTGTCAGTCAATTAAGATATATGACTACAATAATTGCTTGGCTCCCAACTGTGCCTTATTTACAGGGAGTGGGAAATAAAGTAAATCTCCAAAGTGTTTATTAATTTGCCTTGAAGAGATAGTTCAGCTTTTGCAAAAAGTAATAATAATAAATGCCCACACGTTACTAAAAGAAAACGTGATTTTATCTTTTTTTTGCATTTGAGCCTACAAAGCTTTGCAGCCATGATCACAGGGGCAATGATACGGCTACTGCATAGGGTTGCCACCTGTCCAGGATTCACCCGGACAGTCCAGGTTTTGAATAGAGATATGGATGGAGGAAAAAAAATACAAAATACATACTCATTCTCCCAAAAAAATATCCGTGTGTCGCTTGAGTGTTCGGGTTTCGCTTGAAGAAAAGGTGGCAACCCTACTCATGCAGACTCTTCCTTCCAGCCCCTGGCTGTACCGAAGTATGGACTTTAAGTTAAGGGATGGGAGGAAGTATAGACTACAGGTGCAGTGAGCTCGCTGTAGCAACCACCTGTACCCAGGCTCCTGAGATGCTACCTGACCTTGCATTTGTAAGGCTGGGCACACACCTTGCAACCATTGCAAGACTTTTGTCTTGCGATGGTTGTAAGGTACTTAAAAAAAAACGTACGATCTGCCTATCTTGCATAGGCAGATCGTACTTGCGATGATTGCAAGCCACGCCCCCCAAGGGGCGGGCTTCCGATGACCGCAATGCCGAACGGGCAGTGTGCGCTTGTGCACACCGGCCCGTATGGCTGTTATCGTACGGACATGCCACAAACCCGCCGAACATCGTACGATGCTCGGCGGGTTTTCGAACATGTCCGTAAGTTTAAAGTCGTGCGACCTTACAGTAGTAGAGGTCGCACGGCTTCCACACACCTTACGATAATCGTAAGGTGTTTGGGGACCTTTAGGACTAACAGGAAGGCCCAGGGTAGTGGTGGGTTAAATTCCTGGTTAAGGCTGCCTATAAGCAGACCAGGAGCAAGGAAATAGCTGGTCATGGCCACAGGGATAGGCTTCTGTCAATGGATATTACAAGCACTCTTACCTCTAGCAATGCCCTTTACAAGAGTGACAGAGGCAGCAACGAAGAGATGTGTTTCACACAACAGTACAGGACCATGGACCCAAGCTCCATCATTTTCAAATACATAGGAAATGAGACTGAATGCTTCCTCATAATTGTAGTCTATTGCCCATGATTGACACACTAGAATCCCAATTATGGCATGCAGCAAAGGCAGGATCTGCCAGAGCAAACATGGTTGGAAAGCAATCTCCAAGCAGCCAAACTACAAGAGCCCTACTGGTGCATGCCCTACAAGAAGTGGCAGTGCTGTATGGAGACGGGACACCATCAAATTGACAGTATTAACAGAGTATTTCTGATAAAGGATTTTCCAATGTGTACTGGACTGAGAAAGCTCAGATAGTGAAAAGCATATTATAAGCCTACCAGCCTCCAAAAGACACATCAGAGCAGCGTGCACATCAAAGGGATGTGGAAATCTAGCACCTCCAGGGGCTTCGAGACAGACAGTAACACCAGTAGGTGCTTCAACCTGCTTGACCATTCTTAAGCTGGCCCTACACCTAAAGATTATTTGCAGATTCTCTATGGTCAGATGGAAAACGGGCAACAGATTCCTCCATCTACGCTAAACTGTGTGGATGGAGGAATCTCCCACTGGGCCAAGCTTCAGTATCTTGCTAGTCGGCACCACTGGCTCTCAAAATACCTCAACAAAGCCTGCATCCAATCAGATTGCTCAGGTATTTGGAGAGCCAGCGGGGCCGACTAGCCAGATACTGAAGCTTGGCCCAGTGGGAGATTCCTCCATCCATGCAGTTTAGCGTAGATGGAGGAATCTGTTGCACTTTTTCCATCTGACCATAGAAAACCTGCAGATAATCTATAGGTGTATGGTCAGCTTTAAGGTGGTAAACCCATAAAATTATGTTAAATTATCGTGTGTTCCTCAAGGGCAAAAAATAGTGGAGGACAACTGACAGCGCTACAAAGTCTCCATCAGGGGCTGCCCCTAGGCTATGCTTTTGTCTTCTCCTCCTGAGGGTGATGCTATAAAGCCATTGGAAAGAGACTCCACCATTTCATTCAATGTATGAAAAAAGAAAACACATTGACATACAGGCACACTTTTTTAAATATAATATGCTTACCTTTAGTTTTTCCACGTACACTCTCTAGGCACCTCCAAGTGCCTGCACAAACCTTCTGATGTTTTTCAGCACCTGGGGAACCCTGAAACCAAGAGTACACCGATATGTAAATGTCCACTTTTCTTTACATGGTTGATGGCTGGCCTTTCACAGCTTGATACCACTCAAAGTTTATCATCTTCTGCTAAAATAACTCTTTAGCGCCTGGTGTCTTCCCCCCTCACTTGTCCACAATTAGCTAAAGTTTAAAAACATGTTTTTAAAGGTTTATTACCTTTTTGTGCTGCAGCCCAGCACTTCCTCATGTAGACAAGACTGATGAAGGGACCCCTGCCATGCCTGCGCATACATGGAATCTCACAGCACACGTGCCCCCCAGTAAGACTGCCTTCTGAGATGTGTGACATGGACATCCCAGGAGGCGGCTTTACTAAGGGGCACATGTGTGATGCAATATTCCAAGCATGCGCAGACATGGAAGCGCCCCGCAGCATGTTTGCCCATTTGCGCACACATACACTACAGTTCTATACACGGTCCCATATACCAGTGGCATGTGTGCTATTACGCCAGAATCCCCTGCATGTGTGCAGGTATGCCACAGGTCTCGGCCACGTCCCAGAGAGCTGTGCATGCGCGTGATATTGGAAGATGGTGGTGCAGAAGAGGAGTTCTCGGTAAGGGGTGTATTGGGCGGTGAAGTTCTTCTTTAGGGACCAATAGTCATAGCTAGTCATAGGAGGTGGCAGGCCAGCCATCAGCTTTGTAAAGAGGAAAGAAAGAGAAATGCTTGCATCAGGCATTGCAGTATGTTATACCATTAGGCCTAGTTCACACAGACTTTAACTTGTAAACTCTAATCTAAAAAGTATTGTATACAGTGAGCAATTACAATGCTTCCAGAAAGTTTTGAATATATTTTCGGAAGACCCTAAACACCCTTCAGCTCCAGTCGGGCAGTGTTAAAAACAGATGGTAATGGAAGTGCTGGTTCTCATGTTGTTAGTAAGCTTTGGCATTGCTTCATCCATATAGTGAAGTTGATGGATAGGAGTAAATCCATCTCCCAGCCCCATAAAAGTCAATGTGGCCAAACTGTGCGGACATCGGGTCAAGAACCCAGTGGAGAAACATAAACAATGTCGAGGACCTCGGAGTGAGATTTAGGTACATATTGAAATTCGAGGGGGAGGGTGGGCCACACGTGTTTAGTGTGTGTGTGAAACTTTCCTTACCCTTTAAAGTCATCAGGATTTTGCTGACCTGCATTTAAAGTGCATCCCAAATACATGCCAAATGCAGGAGAACACCTGTCAACTTTAGCCTTCAAAGGCTGTATTAATGAATACAGAGCTGCAATAGTTGTCTAGAGTTCAGCTTTAACTTTTGGGGTTAAGGTGATTTTTCAGGTTAGGTTAAGGGTCAGGTTGTTAAGGAAGAACTCCCGGGGGGGAATGTTTTCAGCCTACTGTATCTAGCTTTTGGAAGTATTAAAAATATGTGCTTACCTTTCTGCATAGCAGTATGGTCTTCCAGAAATCCATGGTACAAGTCTGTGCTTCCTGCCCTCTGTCCCCTTTGTTACCTTTCTGTTAGACCACTAGGCACTGTGCAGTCTATCTGCCTAGCCTGTGGTCTAATAACCTCCCCCTAGTAGTTCTATTGCAGCCAGCCAGCAGGGAAGTGATCCCAGCATGCACTGCAGTGGGTGGAGTAGGGAAGCCTTAGACTGCTGGTCTGACCCTGCCCACTCCTAGTGCAGAGCTTCCTGCTGTCACACCTCCTGCCCTGGAACTCTGTGTAAAGTCACACTGCTCTTCCACACTAGTGATGGGAAGTTCTGATCTTTTACGTGAATTGATTCATCAGTTCACTTGCTGAGTATGCTGACAAGCAAGTAAACTGAAGCTCAGGAGCTGACTCAGTCTAAATGAGGATCTCCTCTGATCCAGACTGTGTTTGCCATCTCTTTGATTCAGTGTCTGGTGTACTATTGGCTGAGAACTGTTGTAAGAAGTGATTCTCAGTGTACTGTGAGCTCTCTGATTGGTTGCTGAGCTCTCTTACTGTAGGATCATATTACCAGAGCGGCTGTGCTTATGACACAGCACTGAGCTGTTTCTAATGAATCAGTTCAGTCAGATGAATCGATTCATCCATTTCCCTGAAAAGAATCGATTCAAAAGAAAGAGTCCTCCATGAACTGGACATCACTATTCCACACAGCCAGATGCTGCTAGGAGGAGGTAGGATAACTTCAAAGCAGGGGAATTTGTCAGGTAATGTAGCTATTCCCTGTGTCTGCTGTCACTCTGAAGCTCTTCCCATTTCCACCTTCAGCTCTGCCTATACACTCCTCACAATTGCACTATTTTACAATGGCTCATGGGAGATGTAATTAGAACTTTGTTCCAGGATATGATACTCATTGGTTACCTAGATCCTTCCCCCTAGTTGCAGGAAGGACTGATCTGTACATAGGAGGATGTG